AGGGATTGTGGGGCTGGTGCGGGATCGGGCAGTGTTTCGTTCTTCTGTGCATGGGGTCGCTATGAGTCGGAAACGACTCGACGGCACTTAACAACAACAACAACAGAGCCTGGCACTTTGAACTTGGACTTAAAACCTCCAAAATGTTAAGAATAAACTCCTGTTTATTAAGGCCATCCCATTTGTGGTATATTCTTGTCAGAGCGACACTAGGTAACCAGAACAATATCTTTGCCAAAAATCAGTATTCTATTTATGTGTAGTTCTATAGCTGAACTCTCTATTGCCTTCCATTAATCTATTTATCTTTATGTTATACTGTTGTTGCTGTTGTTGAATGCCAGTGAATTGAGTCTGACATATAGAGAATCCAGTGTGACAGAGTGTAACTGTCCCTTAGGATTCTCTTGGATATAATCTTTACACAAGCTGATTGCTAGGTCTTTCTCCTGCAGAGGCACTGAGCGGGTTTGTACCACCAACCTTTCAGTTCCCAGCTAAGCACTTCACTAGTGTACCACCAAGAGTCCTTTATGTCATGCTAAACTGTCTTTATTACAGTAGCTTTGTAATAAGACTCTTATTGGTGGTACTCTATGATTTTGTTGTTTTTTTCAAAGTTGTTTTGGCTGTACTAGGCTATTTGTATTTTCGCATGCATACATTTTAGTATCAGCTTGTACATTTCTACAAAGAACTCTGATTTTGATTGACATTGTGTTGAATATAAAAATAAATTTACAGAGAATTAACATCTCAGCAATATTTAGCCTCCTGACCCATGAATGTGGTATGTTGTCTTAGTTGTCTAGTGCTGCTTTAACAGAAATACCACAAGTGGATGGTTTTAATAACCAGGAATTTATTCTTATATAGTTTAGGAGGCTAGAAGTCCGAATTCAGTGTCAGCTTTAGGAGCTGGGTGAAGGCCCCTTAACCCTGGGCTGTAGCTCTGCTTCTTATTCCAGGCCCACTGGAGCTAGAGTCTTCTCATAATTCATGCAGCTGCTAGTTGCTCAGGCTGATGAACCCAAAGTTGGCAAGTAGAATGGCACAATCCCAAGGTCAACAGGCACACAGCAGGCCACTGGTTCAAGTCCAGGAACAATCCCGAAATTGGCAGGCAACACAGCAGGCCACTGAATGAAGACTCAGCCAAATGCAGGATCCAAGCATATCAAAAAGCTAGAGACCTTTCTCAAAGCCTCTCCTGTACTGGAAGCAGGCCACCCTGAAGGCAGCTACTTAGCTGCTCACAGCAGATTCCACCGTGAGGTGATTACAGTCTCATCCTGGGGAATATCTACATTCAGCTGCCCAGCCACTCCAAGCCATGGCTCAGGCAAGTTGACACACAACTTTAACTACTACATGTGCCTTTCCATTGTTTTAGTTCTTTAATATTGCTCAGCAGTGGTTTATAGTTTTTAGTGTATAGATCTTGCTCATCTTCTTGGCAGATGTGTCCTTAAGTATTTTATGTAAGTGAAATGTGAAAGTTTGAAAATACTGATTGTTTGTTACTGTGAGTTGAAATTGACTCAATGGCAATGGGTTTGGTTTTGGTTTAGGATTATATCCATAGATTGTGCCTAAACCAATCATTGGGCAGAGGAGACTAATGGGATTACCATGATGGGCTTAGCCCAGTACATCTCAAGGAGTGGTCTCCAGACTAGCAACATCGGCATCATCTGGGAACTTGTTACAAATTCTTTGGCCCCACCCCAAACCTACTGAACCAACTGGTTCAGCAGTTTGTGTTTTAATATGCCTTCTTGGTGATTCTCATGCCCCTAAGTTTGAGAACAACTGGCTTAGACTAACCTGTATGTGAGCATCCTGGGAAACATACCTGGTTTTGAAAAGTTCAGGCTTCTATTAGCAAGGAAAATAAGAAGCATTGTATTTAGGAAGGTAGGACCCAGGAATGTGCATTTTTCTTGTTGTTAGGTGCCTTTGAGATCATTCCAACTCATAGTGACCCTGTGTACAACAGAATGAAACAGTTCCCATTCCCATACCATTCTCACAATTGTTTCTGTGTTTGAGCCCATTGTTACAGCCACTGTGTCAGTCTGTCTCCTTGGAGGTCTTCCTCTTTTTCGTTGACACTGTTTCACCAAGCATGATGTCCTTCTCCTGATTCCTCCTGACAACATGTCCAGATACAAGAGACAGAGTCTTGCTGTCTTCGCTTCTGAAGAGGGTTCTGGCTATTCTTCTTCCAAGAGAGATTTGTTTGTTTTTCTGTCCATGGTATATTCATTATTCTTTATCAATACCATGATTCGAATCCATAAATTCTACTGTCTTCCTTATTCATTGTCCAGCTTTTGCTTGCATATGAAGCAGTGGAAAATATCGTGGCTTAGGTCAGACACACCTTAGTCCTCAGAGTGACATGTTTGCTGTTTAATAGTTTAAAGAGGTCTTTTGCAGCAGATTTGCCCAGGGCAATACCTTGTTTGATTTCTTGGCTGCTGCTTCCATGGGTGTTGATTTTGGATCCAAGTAAAATGAAATCCTTGGCAATTTCAGTGTTTTCTGCATTTATCATGATGTTGCTTATTGGTCCACTTGTGAGGATTTTTGCTTTCTTTGTGTTGAAGTGTAATCCATAATGACGGCTATAATCTTTTATTTTCATCTCTTAGTGCTTCAGGTCCCTTTCACCTTCAGCAAGCAGGTTTTGAATTTTTAATTAATCAATATACTCCTGGCAGAAGCAGGGCTATTGAAAGATTGATATGTTAGAATTAATGTGTTTGTCTGTCATCTTCATCTATTATAAGAGTCAGATCAATGCCTCTTTTGTATGACTAGTTTTTACATTTTTAAATGATAGGAAAAAAAACTATACAAATAATATTTTGTGACCTACAGTTATATGAAATTCAACTTTCAGTGTCCCTGAGTAAGGTTTATTGGAACATAGCCATGCTCATTCGTTGACATATTTTCTATATCTACTTTCTGGCTGTAGTGGCTGAGTTAGATAGCTTACTACAGAGACTGTGTGGCCCACAGCCAGACATACTTACTTTCTGTAAAGAAAAACCTTACTGACCCTTGAGCTGTAAGAATATATTTTGTAAGAATAATATTTTATAACAATAATGTATACCAAAGAATAATATATTCTCCTCTCATCTTAGATAACTGATATCTTACCCTAATAAGTAGAAATCTTGACAGTAAAAGTGTGAATAATGAAGTACAAGTTACTTAAAGAATGTGTGCTAATTAAAATTTCAGTAACTTTGTTTAAAGGAGTGGTACTTTAATAAGATTCATAATTAGAATAGAACTTAGTATAACAAGGTCAATTACAGTGATGAGGAAATGGGAAGGCAGTGTTTTTATGACTTGAAGTGCCTCAAGGTGGTTTTAATACTTCCTGTTACTATGTAATATTGTAGATACTAAAAGTGAACTGTTTCTAAAATATGTCTTCTGATGCTGTTCATTTGGTTTTAATGAGAAAGAAGCATACCAAGCTAACTGTAGCTTTGAGACAGGGGAAATATATGATTATTGAAGGGTTCAAGGGATCAAGGTTGTACTGACTTTTACTTATTTTTAGACTTATTTTTATAAATACAGGTGAGAATTGCTTTGTTTCCCATGCCATGTTTACATACATTAGCCAGAGTTCACATATGGTTCTGTTGCTGAAGAGAGATGAAAATACTTATTTCTAGAAATGTGTAGGGAGGTAGAAAATCATCAGGATACCTTTCAGGGTTAGTTCAGTAACAAAAATCCCCAAGTCTCCAACTCTGAGACATTATTAAGGGGAAGATTGTTAAACATTTTCTTGAAGTCTTTCCCACCACCCTGTGGAAATTTGATATTCTGTTGAGGATACCAGTTAGTACCAGTTACTCTTGAGTCAATCCCAACTCACACTGAGCCCACCCCCCCACCCTATTGTCTCAGAGTAGAACTGTGCTGCGTAGGTTTTTAGTGGCTGAGTCTTCGGAAGTAGATCATCAGGTCTTCTAAGGTGCCTCTGGGTGAGTTTGAACTGCCAACTTTTGGGTTAGCAGCTGAGCTTGTTAACTGTTTGTACTACCAGGAAACTCTATTTGGGAATATTTGCTCATTAAAGATGATTTTTGGTACTTGGAAATAATCAAATGTGAGTACTGTTTCAACAGAAACAGTTAAATATATGTTGTTTTTTCCAGGAGAGGGTTACTTTCTATATGCCTATGTAATACCTATAATATATATTTCTCTCTCTCTCTCTTTTTAAGGTTGTACATTAGCTCCTCAAAGGCGTTTGCCTCATCAGAGAAATCCATGAATCCTTTGCAGTGGTGTAGACATGTTCTGGATAATCCAACTCCCGAGATGGAAGCAGCAAGACGTTCCCTGTGCTTTAGGCTGGAGCAAGGTAATTTTGAACCTGTTTATTTACATTTTCAAGTTCTTGCCACTGTCAGCTGTTTTGATTGTTCTTTTTGGAATGCAGGCAGTTCTCAGGTCATGAACATATGATTGGCAGACATTCATACTTGCCCTTTAATATTATACACATTTGCCCTCACTTTGAAACGATTTCACCAACCTCTCTTGGCGGCAAACTTTTCATCATGATCACCTTCACTTGATGCACATACAGCTATTAAATCACTGAAAAGGCTTTGTGCCTTTTCTTGCTCTAAAGTAAGACTAAACAAGACCTGATGCACCTGTTTCAAGTAACCTACAAATTCTACTGAAATACACACTTTGGAATGCATCTCATTTGTGACCTTGGGACTACCTGTAGACACTTAAGTTAATGGAATTCATTTCACATGTATTATACAATAGAGTTTCTCAGTACTTTGTGCATTTGGTTTTGTGTTTGTTTCTAGCCTTTTTTTTCTGGCTTCTTTCAATTTGTATTAGAAAATTGGAACATTTTTTTCACCTCTGTTTTTGCTTTCTGTTTGCAAATATGTCAGTAATAATAGTCTTAAAATCTGTGGGGTTGGCAACAAGCTTATATGGCTAAATTGTAAGGTAGAAATACATTCTGCACAAAACTGGGTTCCACTTGGAACTCGGTGATGACCTTCTTCTTGTTGTTGTTGTTATGTGCCGTCGAGTCGGCCCCGACTCATAGCGACTCCTCCTTGGGTTTCCGAGGCAGTATCACTACAGAAGTAGGATTGCCCAACCTTCCTTCCGAGGAGTGGCTGGTGGGTTTGAACCGCCAGCCTTCTGGTTAGCGGTCAAGTGCTTTAGCCACTATGCTACCAGAGCTCCTCGGTGATGACCTTACTGATTTTTAAACTCAGTAATGTTCAGTACTTAATGTTTAGTTGGATGTGTAAATGAAGTCCTAACCTTTACAAACTGGGATATAGTCTTCAAAAGGTATGAGATATTAATTAAACTTCTGTTAGTGTCTATAACTTGAGTAAGGGAAATTTTAGGACAATTGTAGAAGAAAAAACCCAAAAAGGAATGAGTAGTATTCAGCTTCTTGCTATTTCTATAAAGTAGACAACTGGTGTAGTGCCTAAAGGCATCTGACTGCTAACCAGAAGGCTGGCAGTTCAAACCCACCAGCCACTCCTTGGAAGGAAGATAGGGCAATCTACTTCCATAGTGGTACCCCCTCAGAAACCCAAGGAGGAGTCACTATGAGTCGGATCCGACTTGACAACAATGAGTTTGGTTATGGTTTGAGACAACTTAAAGCTGTGAGTTTTTTACACTTTTGGCTTACCTCTTGGTATCTATTTCATTATCTAGTAATGTTGTTTCTATTTCTCAGACTGCTTGCATCCAAGTCACACAATGAACTTCACAGTGCATACTTTTTCTTAATTGTGGTAAATTACATAAAACATAAAATTAGCCATTTAACCATTGTAAGTATACAGTTCATTGATGTTAATCATATTCATGATGTTGTTGATTTCTTTGAAAAATGAAGTGTAAATTTCTTCCCCCTCCAGATTAAAGAACCAGAATATTTGAGGGTAGGGCCAAGTGGCCCTTAGAGGTTCACCAGGTGATTCTTATGTACACTGAAGTTTGAGAATCCTTCCTGTCAAACTCTTCAATCATAATGATTGATTATAAGATGTTTGGACATGAAAACAAAATATGTTGTTGTTAGGTGCCCATGAGTCACTTCTGACTCATAGCTGCCTTATGCACAGCAGAATGAAACACTGCCTGTTCTTTTCACAATTGTTGCCATGTTGGAGCCCATTGTTGTAGCCACTCTTTCCATCTTGTTGAGGACCATCTTCTTCACTATCCCTCTGTTTTACCAAGCATGATGTCCTTTTCCAGGGGTTGGTCCCTCCTGATAATATGTCCAAAGGTACTTGAGACAAAGTATCACTATCCTCACTTCTTAGGAGCATTCTGGCTATCCTTCTTCCAAGACAAATTTGCTCGTTCTTCTGTCACTTCATGATATATTCAATAGTCTTTGCCAGCACCATGATTCACATGTGTCAGTTCTTCTTTATTCATTGTCCAGCTTCCACATGCATATGAGGCTATTGAAAATACTATGGCTTGGGTCAGGCACACCTTCGTCCTCAAAGTGACAGCTTTGCTCTTTAACACTTTACAGAGGTCTTTTGCAGAGGATTTGCCAAGTGCAAATATGTCATTTGATTTCTTAGCTGCTGCTTCTCTGGGCTTGATTAGTCCAAGTAATATGAAATCCTTGACAACTTCCATCTTTTCTCCATTTATTATGATGTTCCTTATTGGTTGTGAGGAGTTTTGTTTTCTTTACCGTGAGGTGTAATCCATAAAGGAGAGCTGTAGTCTTTGATCAGTGAGTGCTTCAAGTCTTCACTTTCAGAAAGGAAGGTTGTGTCATATCCATATTGCAGGTCATTACTGAGTCTTCCAACAATCCTGATCCTATGTGTTCATATAGTGTAGCTTCTCAGATTATTTGCTAAATATACAGGTTGAAAGAATACAACATTGATGCATGCCTTCCTTGATTTTAAACCACAAAGTAGCCCTTTGTTCTGTTTGAACAAATGCCTCTTGGTCTGTGTATAGGTTCTCCATGAGGAGAGTTAAGTGTTCTGGAATTCCTACTCATTGTAATGTTAGCCATCATTTGTTATGATCCACATAGTTGAATGTCTTAGCATGGCCAACAAAGTGCGGGTAAATATCTTTCTAGTATTCTTTGCTTTTCAGCCAAGATCCATAAGCAATAATACCCCTGCCAAAGGGGCAATCAGGAGGCTGCATCTCCTGACCTCCTTTTACCTCACAAGAGGAAGACAGAATCACCATCAATAGCCCAAGGCCTATTCCTGTGAGGCCAGACATGCTGCCTCCCTCCAGCCCTTCCATCAACCCTAACATCAACTGTTCCTCCCCAGCACCCACCACCTCTCTGCTGGGTTTGATAATTCACTGCAGTGGCCACACAGAACTCAAAGATTATGGGATTTATTAGGGAAGCACCAGGCTACAATTCAAGGTCAGGAACAATGCTCAGTCTCTCTCAGCCTGGCATCTCTCAGCCAACAGTCTCTCTCAGCCTCTCTCCCAGCAGTGCCTCTCAGGAGCGTGATTCTCTCAGCAGCACGTCTTTCTCAGCCAGCAGTCAGATTCCTTCTGCCTCTAGCAGGGCTCCTTTTGAGCCTGGCAGAGTGACCACTAACCAATCCCAACATCAGAATTCTAAGCACCTGAGAGAGAGAGAACTTCTCTGAAGATTGCTTTGTGCTACTCTCAACAGAAATACCCTGTATGGGTAACTTTACCAATCCAAAGCAACTCAGTTGTTCATGGCAAATTCCACCACGGAGTTTACAAAGACTTATGGCTAGAAAAGCCATAGCAGGTAATTTACTGCACACAGTCCCTTATTCCATGCTGTCTGATTTTTTTTTTTCAACCATTAAAATATTGATTAAAATATTAATTAAAATATTAATTAGTTGATTGGCTGGAGTAGTAAAAATCATTCTTACTTTTTAGGCACAAAAAAAACAGGCAGCTGGCTGAATTTGGCCTACACAAGTCACAGTTTATCAATGTCTACTTTAAATCATCTGTGCAGTGGTTAAGTGCTTGGCTGCTAACCAAAAAGTTGGCGGTTCAAACCCACCAGCTGCTCTACTAGAGAAAGAAGTGCAGTCTGCTTCCATAAAGGATACAGCTTTGGAAATCTTATGGGGAAGTTATACTCTGTCTTGTATTCTTACCATGATTTGGAATTGATTCAATAGCAACAGGCTTCATTTGGGGTTTGAACATCAAGGCTGATTTTAAAATAGTGGAAGAGAGACTTTGTTAAATTTAATGTAAGTAATCCTAGTAGACTAATTACCTAGTTGTCTGATTTTTCTTTCATTGACAAGGACCTAATACATAAGAATTATGAGGTTAGTGGGGCTAAAACCAAACCAAACCAAACTCATTGCCATCAAGTCAATTCTGATTCATCATAGTGACCCCCTTTGGGTTTCTGAAGTGATAAATCTTTATGGAAATAGATTGCCCAGTCTTCCTTCCATGGAGTGGCTGGTAGACAAGAATTGCCATGTTGCAGTTCTATTCATAGTGTAATTTATATAAATGTCATGTAAGTTTGAGCAGAGAATAATTTTTTTCAAGACAAAGATTAGCATTTTAATAAGTTTATATATAAATCCAAATCCTCTTTTGCTGTGAGAGTAAAATGCTTTTGTTCCAAAGATTCAAAGTCTCATCATGAGATTAGAAGTAACTGATTAGAACAGGTTGTTCTTTGGATGGAAATTCTTTTTGGAAATTTAACTATAATTTTATAAAATACTATGTCTATAGTGTAAAGGGAACTCTGGTGGTGTAGTGATCAAAGCATTAAGCTGCTAACCAAAAGTTCAGCACTTCTAACCTACCAGCTGTTCCATGGGAAAAAGATGAGGCAGTATGCTTCTGTAAAGATTTATAGCCTTGGAAACTCTATGGGGGCAGTTCTAGTCTGTCCTATATGGTCACTATGAGTTGGAATGGACTTGATGACAATGGTTTGTTGTTAGTTGTTTTTTATAGTAACCCCTCCTTTGGTTTCCAAGGTGGTATCTCTATGGAAGTAGGTTGCCCAGTCTTCCTTCCAAGGGGTGGCTGGTGCGTTTGAACCGCCAGCCTTCTGGTTAGAAGTCAAATGCCTTAGGTACTTTGTCACCAGATTGTGGATATTATAGGGAAAAATAGCAAATTCCTGTTGTATCCTCTCATTTTCATTTTATTCTCTAAAGGCATCTATCTATTTAACCAAAACTATTTATTGTTTTACTTTTGTTTTTTACCTCTCTAAATTTCATGCTTCATTGGTATTGCTTGAGTTTGTTTACAAGTTTAGATTTCATCCATTAGCTTTCTACTGTGGATAATGAAGTTTTAATTTTAACAAACAAACAA